AATTGAAATTCTGCTTTGATGTTTTTTAACTGTATTTTTTTTAATCTGTTTTTTTTTAATATTTTTGTTTAATCTTTTAACTGCATTTTGTATTGGCCGATTATTATCGGCCGGGAGGGTTGCAGCACTCTCGTATATTACATTCTGAATATACGCGTGGAACGTTCTTATCGCGTCGGCAGAAACTGAGATTTTCAAATGCGACCAGTTTCGCAGAAGGAAATGCTTTTTACGCTTATATAAATTCTGTACCCGCAATCAGAGAGTTAAATCTTTTAAAGTTTTACTGTAATTATTTTACACCCAGGAGAGGGCCGAAAACGAAGATAAAAGTTGCCAATGAAAGCTACAGCATCAATCTTCTGAAGATCAAGTTTGGTGGCGGTACTCAGCAGTTTGTTGCTGCCGCTTGCTTATTTCTGAGAAAGATATGACTGGTTAAACTTTGTTGGTTTAATTTAAGGTCATTTGATGCCTAGTATAGTATAAGAAAATTATTTTAAAGCTAATTGCAGACGGTATGTAATTTAATATTTATTTTCTTTACAAAATACAAAAACCACAATTGTAATTGATTTTGGCTGTTATGTTTCGAGAGCACTTAAACATGTACGCTATCACCTCCAGTGCATTTATGCTATCTTTATAGTGGATGCCATCATGCATGTACACTGCGAAAAAAAAAAATAAATAAATAAAATAATTGGGACAGTTCTGTATCTCCCGTTCTACTGGGCCGATTGAACAAATTCAAATTGGGTTATTCATGGTTCGAAAGCGCGACGTAGAACTTATATTAGATTTATATATAGCATTGTTCGGTTTAATCCTAGTATCTGGTGCACATAGGATTTGGCTACTTTTGGCGACTTTATGATGAGCAGTAAAAACGGGACATATACGATGAGTAGTTAACGGGTCATTCAAAGAAAATATATAGTTAAACATAGTATATACTATGTATATAGTATATATAGTATATACTATGTATACACACATAGCATATAGTGTATAGTATATATATACAGACTTTCTTTGGATCATTTTTGGTGTTGGCGATAATTTTCAAAGTCGCGCCAAGGCTGCGCCGTATACTAGGGTTTTACCCATTGTTCTATAATATAGGTATTTTGACACAAAATCGGCCAATTGTTTTCCATATTTCGATTCTATGACTCAAATTATACCCAAATAATAAATTTTGTAAAATTTGGTGTGAAATTTACCGAGGAATTCAAAAATTTATCTTGCCGGATTTTTTCCAGTTTGCCCCAGGAATTGCGAACTACTTTACAAATTTCTTAATTTATAGCAACCTATTTTCTATTCCTTTTTTTTTTACCCATTGCAGACGAGCGGCAAAAAAGTCATCGTTCATACTTTCAATTAATATTAAGAAAGTGCGTAAACCACATTTGGCGTCATTGTGGCTCCAAAAAAAAAAAAAAAAAAAAATTTCAAAACGCACCCAATGTGTAAATTCATCTATATCCTAGAAAATTTTGAATAAAAATCTCTAATTTTTGGCAGGTATGCTTAGAAATACATCTTAAGATGATGGTAAAAATTTCATAGGTTATAAATTTATAAAAATTATTTAAAAATACAAGTTTAGAAAGTAAATCATAAAAAATGGGTGAATTTTATTTGGAATGAACCTAAATTTCGAATTAACATTGACGAGCTAAAATTTTGAGAGCTAATTTTTTTAAAAAACTACTCGTGCGATTTTTACAAAACTTGGCATAATTTGAATTATAGAATCGAAATATGGAAAAGCATTGGCGTGTCATTTCAGAAAAAGTCCGATTTTGTGTCAGAATACCTATATTAGAACAATGTTATGTAAAATTCCAGTATATATCCTAAGTCGCGCTTTCGAGACATGAAAAACGCAAGTTGATTTTTGTCAATCGGCCCAGTAGAACGGAAGATATAAAACTGCCCTCCCCCTCCCCAATTTTATTTTATTTTATTTTTTCGCAGTTTACAAGATAGGTACTTTGGACGCTTTGAATTTCAGATCTAAAAATGTATCAACAGTCGGAGAAATTAGTTACTGTAGGGATCTAGGATAACCTATCATTGAATATTAGAAGTTTGTGCTAGAATAGTCTACAAATTCACATATGTTTTAAATCATTATGGTATAAATAATCTATTAGTATTCATTTATTCTTTACCATTCTAATTATTGTGAAATGTGGCTTCTGCTTGTTTATAATTTGTTGAATGATTTGTACACGATACTGATAACTCTTTTCCATTTCAAAATTGCTTACAAATAATTTGCTGTCGTATTCTAAAAACAAATTAAGTAAATGAGAAAGTTTTTAATATTCAAACAAAATCATTTACAAATAATATGCACATATTCAGAAGATGAAGTAGTTAATTTAAACCAGCAAATATTTCATTGTTTTTATTTTGTTCTATAACTGTTTATGAGAAACGAGTTCTTATATTTTGTTGATAAAAAGGCCTAACAAAAAAAGTCACTTCACTTTTAGTTTCATTATCCGGCTATATTTAGGGTAGTGAGTTGTTTGACTGATAATGTTAAAGCATACGAAAGTTATGTGCTTTGGGAAGAAACCTCTTCGTTTACAATTTTATAAGTGAAAACAAATTTATAAGTGGAAAGGCTGATATATTAACAATACATAGGGATGTAACCAAGAAAACTCTGCAAATAGCCCTTTCCTTGGGAACCGAACTCGGAATGAACTCGCTTGGCAACTGGTGAGCTTAGTTATAATCAAGTAATATGTTTCTATATGATGTTTTCTCTGTCGCGACTTCGCATTTCATCAACTCTCATGTGTTGTGTACCAGTTGCAAAATCTGTTTTTATTTTAGTGTGTAAATAATCTTTAGCAATATGTGTTTGTTGAGTTAATGTAATCCTGATTTTTTAATGCTTAATGGCGAGAGAAATTACTCGCTTGAAAGTTAGAAAGAACAAAAGAACGGACGAAGAATGGCAAGTAGGCTATGTTACTCCTATTCAAACTGAAGTAGTACTGGATAGGAATTAATTGATTAGGCAAAGCACGCGAATGTTGTATGCGTAAAGTAAAGGATGTCTTGTGGGTACTTTTCAAAGGAAATTGGCTGATAGGTTACATTTTACGTTAAGAAATCTAGGCCAATTACAGCCGAAATCGAAGCTGAGCAGGTAGGTTGCATTACTTTTTCGTAGTTTACTTGTGGTGTGTTGCCGCAATACATCAGTGGTCGCAACTTCAGTTTTTGAACCTCTAGTGTATTACAGAATCAAAATTAAACGTATTAACTGATTTCTTCTTAAGACCTGTAGTATATAAACAGCAGAGGTTAGTACAACAGTTTTTTCTAGCTCAAGAATATCCGTAAATTTAAAGAATATTACAGTTGTCTTGGGACTGTTAAAAAAACGCTGGTGGACAACTTCGGCATACTTTTGCATCGCATTTATTTTCATATAGACACAATAGTTATGTGTAACAAATTCACCGTTACTAGTGCCCTGATGTAATGAGTTATAGATTGTATAAAATAATGTCATTCCTTGTAATCGCTTAATTAATTTTTAGTCTTGCTGCAAATTACTAGTTTTATATTAGTGGGCTTTTTTACGCTTTTGTTGTCATTAATGTTTTAAATGCATTAATTGTGTATGCTAAATAATATGAATTAATTATTATGCTTATTACTAGTTTTGGAATGAAGCCAGTCATAAAAATACAATCAAGGTTAATTTGTCACCTTCCTTTGATAGAAAGTAAACATTTTTAGGCAATCAAATTGGAGTTCGCAAATTCAGACATCAATGCTCAGTATATGCACCAAAGTGGTTACTTTATCGCGCTGTTATATATCCAGAAATATCTAGAACATGGGTAATTGTTAATATAGGACAATGGTAAGTATTCAGAATACAGCGACAGAGAAAATTTATTAGCATAATGCAATATGATATAGTAAAATTTATGACTTTTTTGAAAATATTCCAGTATTCAACTAATAATGTATATGCGCATACTGGCTTAAAAAATAGCTTGCCTTTTAATTTATGGTGATGCAACTCCATGATATTAATAATTTCAATGCTGTGTTGCACGATACCATGCGAATAAAATCCGTGCATTTCCGGTTAGTATCTGTGAATTTGGGAATACAAATATCGTTTTATAATGTTATACTTTGATTTATGTCGACGTAGAAACATGGGCATTGTATTTCTACAGAGTAGGAATCATCTGTGCAACGTTCATGTGTGTGAAATTCAAATATATATGTTACGAATTTTTAAACATTGTTTATATTTTCGCATTGCTAAATTAGTGCTTGAATTCTCATTTTTCTTATAAATATTTGTTTGAAGTAGTTGAAAATTTTGCTACTTAATGTTGAAATCATTTTGTATTTTGTTTGCTGTTTCGAAGTAAAATTTACCAAAATAACATTCCGAGACCAAGTTCAGATTAATCCTGTACTGAAGAGGGATAAATGTGACGGACTGTTTTTGTAGTTTTGATTGTCGAGTTGGCGACATCTTTATGAGATCCGCAAATATTTTGAAGTCGATAACTTTTAGCTGAAGAAGCTTTTATATCTTCACTTTTTTCATAAATTTATGAATCAGTGTTTCTAGTAAATTATTTTGACGATAAATAAAATACGTTTGGATATGTCAATAAAATGTTTTATTATTCTGTCATGAATTATGTTGTCGGCAAAAAAACTGCATTTGAAGAGAAACTGAATGCTGAATTTTTACGTAGTTCTTTTATATGCATTCCAGAGAATATGCGTGTTTATTTTAGTGTAATAGTTGTCATCGTTGAAAAATAACTCGGAAACTTGTTTCAGGTGAAAACAGCCAGAAAGTGCAGTTTTCGAATTTCTATCTTACCAGCCGATATTATTTCAGAATTTTTGCTTTTAACAAATTTCATTTGTGTAGATCATGAAATTGTATTTACTATAAAATAAATTGTTTTCCCTTTCTTCCACAGAGCTCAGAAACGGATGGATAAAGAAAATGTTTTTGGCAGTAGAATATCTGTTAACTTCCGTTCCAAAAGTGATCTTGAATGTAGAGACTTTCCTCCTCGAAATCAAAATAAAGATTCAAGTAATGAAGCATCTGTCAGCAGTTGTAGTAGCCGTGACTCTTCTGTTTCTCCGTCATGTGAAAGAGAAGAATATAACTTAAAATATGACCAAAATTCAGCTACACGAAGAAAATTTGATTTTCCACCACCTCCCTTGTTAAATAGCCAAAACTACCCGGCATTATTAAGAGCAACACAAAGCGAAACATTTTCATCACGAAAGCTTGCTGAAAATTCACATTTTTATTGTAATGTGGGTATGGACAAAATAAAAGAGAGTAAACGTCTTGCATCAGATTGGGAAAATATGACGCCTTTTTATCAGTCTCAAAATAAAAATCAAGATATATCGGCATTTGCTTCATTTAATAAGGATCAGGATTTTAATCTGAAAGCTAATAAGTATTGTCAGAAAAACGTGGGTAGAGTTTCACCATTTCTCATGCAAGATTATAATCTGAACACCACCAGAAATTTTACAGTTCCTGCGAATGAGCCATGTAATGTTTGGCAAAATTCTAGTCATGCTGATGTCTCTAATACATTTCTATGCTATCCTAATCATGAACATTCTGGCTTATCTCGCAAACCTTCTGTATCTGTTAGCGATATTCAGAGGATAAGTGATCCTGTAACTCATTCATCTCAGTGGAATGGAGCATCACTGCATGCTGATTTAAATCAAACCGTACCGAGAAATAATTCAGTACCTGATGGATCACGGTTTGTTGAATTAAATGTTTCAAATTTAGATTCTTCATTTGAAGTAAATGAAATGAAAAAAATATTGCTGTCTACATTCAGCGAGTATGTAATGGTAAGTATAAGGAGGTCATCTTTTATTTTCTGTGTTTAGATTAGGTCTTTTGTTTTGTTAAAAACTTGTTAAAAGATGTATACAGTACAGGATTGGAGATCCCATATTTCGGAAATTTCTGGATTCATCATCAATTTAACCCTTTGACTGCTATGGGCGCATTTATGCGTCCAGCAATTATGGACGCAAATGCGTGCTCGGTGAAGGCTTTAGCTGTTTTTACTTCTTTCTCATGTGTATGCTCGGAAATTACTTCTATCGTATTTATATGTTCATCACTCGCAGAAACCTCATACCTTCTCCGTTGCTGAGCAGCAAGACTAAATGAAATCTCGTGTATTTGGTCAGTCATTTTGTTGTCGTACGCCCGCTCACGCGAAGGGCTTCAACTTAAAGCAGTTAGCAGTCAAAGGGTTAAATCTGGTAAGATGACATGTCGAAACTGTAAACTTAATGTGAAATGGTTGTTTGTGAAGTAATGAAGAATTTTATAACATTAAGAAAACCAGAGTGTATAAGAAAAAGCAGCTCAATGTTAACGTTTTGTTTTGTTAAACATTTCTTTCGCCTAAGTTCTTTAAGTGATTTTACGTCTTTGTCTCTAATTTTATAGAGAAGCACGATTTATTGTTTGGTTACAAAGTTCCATTGCTTAAATCATATAATTGTTATGTCGAGAATTCCTACTAAACTAAACTCATTTGCGCAACAGCCCTAGTGGGCCACGGCCTGCAGTGCCCTTTTTCTGTTTTCTTCACCTTTGGACCCCGGAGGGCATCAGCAAATGGCCTGGACGTGTGGTCAGCTTGTCGCAGGATTCCCGGTGTTTAGCTCCCAAACCAACTGGGTACTCATTTGATCGACCCACTTAAGAGATAAAAGGCTGAGCCAATCTTGCCTCAGCCTTTCATCAATCTTGCCCAGCCCGGGGATCGAACCCCGGACCTGTGGTTTAGCTGCACGATAGAATTCTTACTAAATAATCACTAAAAATATTTTCATTCTTAACAACCTCTACATCACTTTCTTCATAAACAGTAGCGATATTTTCCAGATTTAAAAACCATAACTACAGATTTCACAATCTGTTAATTGATTTATGATTAGAATATCGTCGTCGTAATTAAGATTTCAGTTGTATTGTCCTCATTTAGTATTTCTTTTCATTTCATCCCGTATTCGGTTAGTAAGAAAGTTTCGCATATTTACGTATTATCCTGTCGATTGTGAAACTATTTCCACTTAGCGGCAGTTATGGAAAAGCATGACGTAAACAACATATTCTTATAACATCTGCGATTTTGTTTGATGTAACCCCAATGGGTTATCAGGCTAATCTTTGGAATATGGTAACATGTAGTTTGGCGACATTTTGGTAAGGCGATAAAGGTTACTAGCTAGGACTTTAGCAGTGTACATGGATAAAGTCAAGAATGTGCTCAATGCCATTTTTGCGCAATTCTGGGATTTTTTTAAAGTGAAAATAGGTCGACACGTACATGGATACCGTGTATGTGCAACGCGGCAAGCAGTTTGCGATTCTGCACTTTCTCCCAATTTCGCACCTAATCTTCGTCATGATTAAGCACTTTTGTTCCATAAAAGTTATAGCATAAGCGTAATTCGGCTAGCAGATTGTTGGAAAAAAATGTTGAGTAAAACATGCCTTTACTTCGTGAAAACAAAATGGCGTCCAAACAAAAACTAGCAGGTTGCTGTAGCAGGGTTGGTCGCCAAAAAATTGCCAAGTTACCGTAATCCAAAGATTAACCGGTTATCGGTAAGCCCCCTTCTGTTTTTATCAAAAAGGATGTAAATTATCTTTTTGTTGTATTCCCCCTTTGCATATTGGGGGGGATTCTGATGTGTAGATGTTATCGCTAAAGTGTGAAAGTCGTTAATGTTAACATTACTTAGCTAATCTGCAAATTAACTGATTTGCTCCGTTAAAATGCGGAATCAAGAGTTTTCCACATTTTACTTAGGTAATATCATGGAGGTAGGAAGTAAGAAGGAGTCGCCCTAAACAAGTTTCTCCGTACCCTGCTCTGAAGCACCGGCGATCCCTACGTGGTGACCAAAACATTGGGTCATTTACCATTGAGTTCTATGGGATTTGACGCGTTCGGGTGTAAATATTTTGTAATTACGTCGCAAATATAATAAATGTATATATTTTCTTTTTCTACAACACTTCAGGTCCTAAGTATGTGAAAACAACATATTTTTAAACAACATTCATTCTGAACGGAATTAAATGCTATACTTTTCTCAGAATGGTTTAATTTGAATGAATATTTTCACAAGTTTTCGTTAATTACTTAGAAAAAAAATTAAGGTAATTGGATTTTATTCGGTTAAGGTACAAAATTAAGATCAAAGTTTATTGTATTATTAATATTAAAATTATGCATTATTTCTTTTCTATTTATAGAGCTTCTTCCTAAAATACTTTCTTAAATATGACATGATTTTTGGCTTCTTTTTAAATCGAAAATGTAAGTCAATTATAATTAATGCTCTATTCGGTTCATTTTAAATTAGAGAATTATTAGGAAAATAGTATTTGACTTTCTCTGAACATTTCTGAAAGGGAATAAAACTTGTAACTGAGTTATTATAAAATGTAAAGGGAATAATTCTTTTAATTATACTTATCAGATTTTTTTTTTTTTTTTTTTACATTTCATTTCAACAATACATATTCCAAAACTCTTTATTACGTTCTTAAGTGCACATCTCATAGCATTTGCTTTACAATACCTTTTAACAGATTGCTTTCCAATATGAACAATTCTTGCTTAAATAGTTTTATACGTATTTGTCACAGGATTTCAAATTTATGTTTACAATCAATATTAAGGTTATTATATATTTAGATAACATTTATAATCATTATAAATTAGATACATTTAATCATTAGATTTCTTCACAGTACTATCACAGTTGTTTATAAGTGAATAAATTCTTCATTTCAAATACATTTATAATAATTTAATGAATTTTTAAGTATTTTGTCAAAGGCAGATAATGCTTTGCAAGCACATGCATAAATATCCATACATATTTCCATTTATCATTTCCGGCATGTGCAATCTTTAATTTCTGTGCATCACTAGATTTTTCGTGTAAAGTAATTTACACTAATTTAGCTACATCCGAAAGTTTTACATAAAAAAAAATATATATGAATATAATTTGAATTAAAATTATAAGTATTATTTTTAATACCCACTCAAATGTCATTTTTCTTCAAAATCCCCAGGATGGCATCTCTCTCTTTAGGCAGATAGCCCTTGCATGCGTTACTCTATTTAATAAAACTTAATCTGACCTATGGCCTAATTACAAATATTTTAACATACATATTTTATATTTAATTTAGCCATCAAGTTTCAAACTTTTCAAATCTTCTAGAAAAATAAATTTTGGCAGATCTCTTTAGCAATTTTCTTAAATCTATATTTTTGTAGTGCAACAGCTTAGAATTTATAAAACAAATTCATAATCAAAATCGCTGGTGTTAGTTATCGAAAAATAACCAAGATGTGATTTTGCGTAAATGTCAGTAAATATACAAATTGCTATTATCCATCACACTATGAATGTTTCTTTCATGCGAGAGTGTCCCTTTTTCGATTTCTATGGAACTGTCGTGTGTCGAAATACTATCAGAATTTTGTCAAGCGAGCTTCTGAGTGTAAACAAAAAACACCCCGTCTGGTGACCCAAGCTTCAAAGCAGTGCTTCACTTCTAGCGCGGAATGGCCCCTCCTCCCTTTCCTACCTCCATGGATAATATTCACATTAACGGCTTCTGTATCGTTAAAGTTCAAAAGTTTGTTTCTTTTATTTCCTTTTCCTCTCCTCCATTTTGCACATTACCTTCTAGGCACTCGCTAATCTACACATTGCCTACTTGGCGCTCGTTAAACTGAAAATAAGATCTTTGGAGGAACAATAGCAATGTTTCTGCACGCTTAAATTAACATAATGTTATTTATTTTTCAATGTTCATACAATCAAACAGTCAACAAATTAGTTGATAGAATCGATCACCAATCAAGTAAAAAACTATAATACAAGGAATTTAAAGTTTAAAATTAAAAGAAACGATTTAAAATATTATTACAATTAAGGAAATGAATTAGCAAAACATATAAAATTATGCTCACTTGTTAATGCAGCCCTAAAGATTTCATTTATTTGATACTTTGAATCACATAGCAACTGGATTTTGCGACAGGTACAGGTAAAAGTGGTGGGAGCACCAGAACTACATTGAAGACTGCACAGGTATACAGTTAGTGAATAAAGTATGCGTACATCAAGAAAAGTAATATCAAATCCAAATTTTAAGGTGCGAAAAGGGTAGTTTCTTAAAGTTTTATTTTTTAAATATGTAGTTTCAATAAGGGACTTTGAAATTATTTAACTGTAATATTTTCATATCTAATAATTTGTGCACACTAATTTTTAAAAGATAAGTGGCCAGAAATCAAAGCCAATAAAGTTTGTGTACAACACGAAGGAGGCGGGGGATTTCTTATCTAACTTTTAAACTTCAAACTTGAGAAAGCAAAGAAGGTTACACTTTCAAGGTCATTGACTTCCGAAGCAAATTTCACGTTGATTGGAAGTTGTTATTTCTACTTTCTTTGACGAAAATGACAACCAATAAAGAAATTCCTTTAGTTACGAGACAACTAATTATCAAATTGAGAGATGAAGGTAAAACTCTTCGTTATATTGGTAAAACCATTTTTCTAGTGTGCAAAGAGTTATTCAAAACTATCTTGACACTGGTAGTCTTGCTGTAAAACCAAGATGTGGGAGATCGAAGAAGCTAACGCAGAGAGAAGAAGAAAAAAATTCTTTTACGAATTAAACAAATCCTAAACTTTCTGCTGCAAGCATTGCAAAAGACATTTTTTTAACCAGCAACAAGGAAATTTTTCCTGAAACTGTACGAAAAGTGCTGCGAAAGGCCGATTATCATGGACGCAAACCTAGGTCTAAGTCATACATTTCCGAGACAAATAGAAAGAA